TAACCCACGTGACCCAGAGGAACATTGAAGAACATGGTGAACGTGGGGGTAGAGAAGTGAAGAGCCGGGGGCCTTCCTTTCGGCCCCTCACCACTTACGTTCAAGGACGGCCAGTGTCTGCCACCCGGCTGAGTGGATGTTGCCCTGCTTTGTAGTCTGTCTTCAGTGACATGAGCCTTTGGTATTTCTGTTCATCTTTCAACAAAATTAGCTTTTATACAGACTGAAAACTCAGTGAAGTATATAGAACCTGGTGTAATTACAATACTTAAATGGTTTAGTTAGACTTTTTAAAAGCTGATTACTGAAGATGCTATAATACATTGAGAATCCTAAAATACAAAGTTTTGTTGGCAAATCTGCACGTCCCCCTGGGCTCTTAAATAAATATAACCAAATCTTTATGAAAGAGACATTCCTTAGCAAATTAAAGCTGGAAATGTGTTAAGCTTTTGAAAATAGACCTTTTTGTGTCACACATCTTTTATTTTGTGATCTTGTTTGCTATTTTTATTTGAAGAAAATAAAATGGGGATGTTTGTTCTTTAAAACCAAAGATTCCAAAAAAGCAAAAACGGAAGACAAAGTGGAGCCAGAGGAAGGTGGCCAGGCCCCTGAAGAAACCAAAACCAGTGTGGGGAAGCCAGGCGATGGGGAAGAGGAGAGCGAGGTGCCCAGCCTGCCCCTGGGACTGACAGGTAACCCGGCACGTTCCCCGGATCTTTAAAATGCCGCGCCTCTCCCGATTATAAGGTGTGAAGTGAGTTGTGACTTGTGCCTGGAAGAAGTAAATACTGACAAGAAATGGTTAATATCTTAAGTGCAGCTTTTATCTTCCATATTGTGCCTTAGTTTTTGTTCTTTCTCTGGTCTTTCCTTTATTCCTGACAGTATTTTAATAATGCACACCAACAGCTTCTGGGGTCCTTTGTTCCTTTGGTTTATCATTTTCTAAAGCTCATTCCATGTTGTAGGGGGAATATCATTGGCCCAGAGTCTGGAGACCAGGGGTTTAATACTGGCTTAATAAGAAGGAATGGGGAGGCAGGAATTAACATCGAAGAACTTGTGCCAGGTTAACCCCCTTTGGCCCTTGTTTCTTTATCTGTAAAGTCAAGAGTTTAGACTAGAATTAGTTGCTCCTAACCAAAAATGTCTAGGAGTCACTTGAGTTGTTTGGTTTGGATTTTCTGTTAAAATACTGAGGCCCAGCCCCAGACCTGCCTGATCAGAATTGCAAAGATGGCAGCATTCTCATCCAGGGCAATTTTGTCTCCCAGGTGGGGTAACCAGCTCATCCTGGTTTGCCCAGAACATGACCAGTTTTAGCTTTGAAAGTCCAGCATCTCATAAACCTCCTCTATCCCAGGGAAATCATGAGGGTTGGCCCCCAACATTTTTGTCAGAACTGGGGCAGGCTACTGGCATCCCCTGGGTAGAGGTCAAGGATCTGCAGAACATCCTGTGTATAAAGGACAGCCTCTCACAACAGAACTCTCCAGCCCAAGGTGTCGGTTAGCCAGGCTGTGAGGAGTAGGGACTCCTGGGTGGGGGTCGAGGAGGCGAGGGCGTTGGTGCTCCCTGCTGAGGAATGCACACCCAATACCGAGGTCCAGTCCAACGGTCCGCCCGTATCTGACTCGGTTGTCCTTTGTGAGTGAAATTAACTTCACTCTTGGCTTTTATTATCCTCAACTAGAGGCCCGGTGCACAAAAATTTGTGCACTGGGGGGCAGAGGGGCCCCTCAGCCCGGCCTGTGCCCTCTCACAGTCTGGGACCCCTCGGGAGATAACGACCTGCTGGC